CCTGTGCATGAAATTCATGCACATTAAAAGGGAATTAATTGCCCTAACCGGTTTGGCTCAGTGGATGGAGCATGGGCCTGGGGACTGAAGGGTCCCAGTTTGATTCTGGTCAAGGGCACATGCCTAGGTTGTGGGCTCATCTCTGATGTAGGGCATGCAAGAGGCAGCCATTCAATGATTCTCTGTCATCATTGATATTTCTATCTCTCTCTCCCTTTCCCTTCCTCTCTGAAATCAATAATAATATATTTTAAAACAAGGAAAGAGAGGCTAAATTGGTGTCTTCACTGTGAGTTGGGGAAATATGGGTTGAGTGCCTCTACTGCAGTTTGCTGGCTTATCTACACTTATTTTCCTGCCATTTCTTTCTCCTTAAGATGCACATCCCAGTTCTTCTGTATCTGAGTCTGCTTTCTCTAACTGGAGTTGGGGAAGACAACCCAGGGTCCCACTGGCTATCTGTGACTGGCAATATAGATCTCAATGCTGATATCAGAGCTTTAGGGAGGGAGGTTGTTGACATCAAATTCTTTATTATGTAGAACCTTGGCTGTCTCATTTTCTGCTGTGGACTAAAAATAGCAATCAAAGTCCATGGAAAAACCCCACTTTGAGCATATTACCCAAGTTTGCAAATACAACAGATAAGACTCTTTCAGATCCTGTCTAAGCCTGGCCCAATGAGATCACAGCTCCCACCCTGGACTGGACCAAGACTCCAGTTAGAGACTTCATCTTTTGCCTTCTCTCTTCTCTGCTCCTCCCATCCCTTAGCCTTCTCCTACTCTAGCCCTTTATTTTCTTGTGAGTTTCTCAGAGTTTTGATCCAGTTGTCAAAGTCTGCCTTTGGATTCATTATACCTTCCCATGTCTTTGCTGGAAATTCCAGACTTCAATGTAGAGAAGGGAGCCAGCAGGATGCTTTTAGCCCAAAGCCCATTCTCCCCATGGATCATACTGGAGATACTCCTTGTGGACCTTCCAGCCCACGTAGAGGAGCTACAGGCTGTAAGGGATGCAGGCCAGGCCAGCTGTGCCAGAGCAATCAGAGTTAGAGCCCACAGCGTTAGAATACCTGCCCAGAATTTCTATAGGTGACTGTGAAATGAGGTGAGACTCCCCAACTCTCCTCACCTCAGGCAGACTCAGCAAATTAGCTTAGTTCTAATACCAGACAGTTTTCAAAGGAAGCAAGCACATTTAAATTGCTGGTGTCGATGACACACACTCATATCTTCATAATGCACAATTCAATACTTAGAATTTTGTCATGCTTGGAAGTATCTGTATTTCCACATCATTTATCTCTATATCATTTCAGAAATTATAAAAGTTTGTATTCTTTAAACAGATGAGTGGAAAAGGAATCTCTTTTCTGTAGTAAAAAGTCATGCCACCCCCAAGACAAATTTTATTTATTTTATTGGCAAAGTTGCTAGTCTCTTGCTCTATAGTAAATTCTCATTATTCACAGTAATGTTCTATAAAGTCACTACAAACACTGTATTAGCAAATGCTGAACCATTGCTCCTTGGAGAAATATGGAGTTAGAGTCTTAGGAGTCTCTGGTTATAATATTTTCATCAACTAACCAATATATAACTGGTTTTATGTGTGTTTCTGTTTAAAGATACCTTAATATATATTGTTGATTCATTAACATTGGACTCACAGGCAACAGCATTATAACTCATGCCTGAAGGAAGCTTAATTTAGCACACTTACTTTTTCCACATCACAGCCTCTTGTGCTTAGATATATCAGATAGCACTTTAGCACCATACAGTACTTGGGAGCCATTTCAAACAACAAATTCATCAATTAAAAAACAAAACGAAACACTCACTAAGTAGACCTTGAAAAGGACACTTGCATACAGGACTAGAGCTGAAACAAGAGGCAGAGCCTCACCTTGCTCAACTTAAACTGGGAATGTATGCATAAGGTGGCTCAAAATTTTCACCACACTCTATATGTTCATGAATGACTGCAACAACACCCCAATTATTGATTTGGGGGTTATAAATAATTTTTAGGAAGAGAATTTGCAAATATGGAAACCATAAATAAGATGGGTTGACTATTACTTATTAACATTATGCACATGATGAAAAATAACCTTTTGTTAAAGGAAAGAAGTCTGAAAGCTGCCACATAAAGGGCCTTTTGTTGACTTTGGTTCGCCCCTCACACCTTCACCCCTGCAAACAAACCTCCTGAACCGTTAAGAAACATTTTGTGCAAGCTGCAGCAGTTTAAGGACTACTTACATCTTGCGCCGATCTGGTGGGTGTCTAGTAAAGAGAGCTCCGAAGCCTGTCACAGGCAATCCAGTGTCCCTGGAAACAAGATAACAATTTTAGAAGCATGTCAGACTGGCATTTATGAACTATCAAAGCCATAGAAAACTAACTTGGGGCTAAATTTTCATGATAATTATTTGTAAAGGATACTCATGTTTATAACTTTATGCACTTTGCAAAATAAAATGTCCCAATGTGTAAATGAAAATGTCAGTATTCCGTCATTACTTCGACTGCATTGTCCAATAATTACAATATAAGAGAAAGTCTATATCACACACTTCCATGGAAAGGTACTGTGCCAGGTTGCAGGACTACAGATATGACTAAAAGATAGTTCCTACCCTCAAAAGACTGTCTATCTCAGGGAAACATACCTACATATAAATAATTAGAATGTAAGTCCAACTGGTTTACAAAACACAAACAAAATGCTCAAAGGGCAAGGAGGTAAGAGCAATTAATTCTGTTTAATAACAGTTTAGCTAATTCTTAATGTAACTCAGGCAATATTTTTATGCACATTTCATACTTTATGTCATCTAAACTTTAGAAAAACTCTATGAAGTAGATACTTTTATGATTCCCATTTTATAGTGAACAAACTGAGGGTTACAGACACCAAAGAACTTTCACAAGTAAATTGTGGAGCGCTGGGGTTCAAACCTACTCAGATCCTTGACCAGAAAAAAACATGTAAAAATTACATTTTAGCTGGACCCAGAATGAGTAGTGCTGACTGGCAAACTGAGGAAAGGGAATTCCAAACAGAAGGAATGGCATAGGCAGACAGCATGGAGGCATGAGATGTGCTCCTGTGCTTCAAGTGCTCCTGTAGTGTGTAGCTAGTGCCACTAGACCTCTTTGGTACTTATGTAACTCCTTTCCTGCATTCCCTATTCCGTAAGCAAAGAAAAATATTAAGAATACCTTTCAACAATCCCAGAGCACCATGTTTCCTCATTCAATAAAGCACGGCTTTTTATTTGAGCCAATTCTGTGTTTAAGAAAACTCGTGCCGTTTGTTCATGTGTTTCTGAGATCCAAATCTGGGGGAAAAAATAGAAGCCAAATGTAAGAAAAATGAATTAATCGTAAAAATAATCAGTTACCAAAATATATTTTTGTTGAAGTAGACTGATTTTAATTGTTGATTCAACTGACATTAAAAAATAACTGATATCTCATAGCAGCTATTTCATCATAAACATGTAAAAATGGCAATTTCTTACTTTACATTGTTGGAAAATAAAAATCAAATTAGTTTTTTCTATGAAATGAAAAGTTCTGCATTCAACTAAATATTAATTATATTTGCTTTCTATTTCCTTCTCAAGTTTAATATATTTTATTTCCCTAAGTAAGGAATTATTTATAGCAATCACTTTATAAATTGAATAGGACTTCAGATATAATCCTCATCATCACCATCATCATTGCCATCATCATTATCATCATCATCCATTTTCTATCACAGATGATAATTCAATGAATTAGAAAGCAATTATTACTATGAGAAAAGTCTGCAGACTGTAAGATGTACACAAACCAATTGCAGATGCAACATGGGTAACATCTAGGGGATCTTGGGAACAAAACAGACAGTGAGGACTGAATAGTTTCATACAAAACTCTAGAATATCACAAATGTAGAAGTTCACAGCAGGGAACCAGAACTCACCACCACCACCAGACCCCATTATTGTTCCTGATCCTAAAAACTAGGTTCCCCAACACATTCAATGAAGCCCCAGATCACATTAATCCCATTAGATTTTGTTTATAAAAAAAGAGAAACCACTGGTTAGAAATTTGAAGACTTCAACTGCTATCATAGCTATAGTCATATGCCTTTGGTCCACTGTGGGTTAATATAATAAGGCTTTGCAACAACTAGGAATCACCACAACTCAAAGCAATTTTAACTACAGTCTCTGGTCCTACTTCCCTGGTCTATTCCATGGCTCTACAGATCCTTGGCTTCTCTCACCCTGTTCTCTAAGACCATAGCCTCCTAGCCCAATTTCCAAGTTCTCATTCCTATATCCTCAGCTCAACTACTCCTCTTCTTAGATCCCCAAGTTAACAAGTCAATGGTATAGGACACAGTATAGTTTATGCTTTATAGTTTATGCTTTAACAAAAAAGAAGACATATCTTTGGCGGCAGGGGAGGATGACTAGCCATCATTTTGTTGTAAGGCTTAAATTTGACCCAAAAATTTGCCTTATTTATGCTTTGATCATTCTTGGCAATGATCACGTCAACAAAGCAATCAACATCTTTGAAAATTTTATGAAACAAATATATTGAAATAATGAGAAGTAAAAGAAAGCAGAAGATAGTCACATTAGTGGAGCTTAAGTTTATTGAGTGCTTATTCTGTGCCAGACACCACATTAAGCACTTGGTATGCATTATTATTTCATTAAATGCTCAAAGCCACCATACTAATACCGTGTATCAATCATGGTCACAGAACAAAATGAACAAAAAGTAGAATAAAATGGGGAACTGAGGGGAGTTTAATAAAAGAAGTATTTTTAAAAGTGTGACCAGCATTCAGAAAACCCCCAAACAATGCTGAAGTGCCATGAGGACACAATAGTGGGGAGCCGTAAGGTAGGGGCAATCACTGGAACCCAGAAAGACCTAGTTGTAAAGAAAGGGCCACTTGATAGTTGTGGTTTTCAGAACAGACACATAGTGTCTTAGTCCACCTCAGGCTGCTGTTATAAATACCATAGATTGGGTGGCTTATAAACAACAGAAATTTATTTCTCACAGTTATGGAAGCTTTGAAGTCCAAGATCAAGGCGCTGACAGATCCCGGTGAAGGCCATCTTTTCACCATGTCCTCACATGGCACCAATCCCACTTATGAGGGCTCACAATGACCCACCTCCTAATACCATCCCACTGGGGCTAGGGTTTCAACATTTACTTTTGGGGGACCCAAACATTCTGTCTATAGCACACAGCCACCGACAAACCATGGCTCTGCAGGGAGGAAGCCATAGGAATAAATGAGCAAACTAACTCTATTTCCACCTCTGAACACCTGTCAGTGCCTTCTACAGGCGAATCCCAACAGGAAGCCAGAGGGCAAGGGAGCTCATTGATGCAATCCATAAAGGTCAGCCTCCTTGGCACAGAGCAGGGTTAGAAGGGTAGAGAATGAATCTGGAGGGAGAAAGGAAGAACACTTGGAATAGTTCATCTTAATGGAAAACTAAGGTTGAAAGGGATTAAGTAATGCTCATGTAAACCACTGAAAAAGTAGAAAATTCACAATTCAAAACTCATGCAGTCTGGATCATTCACTCATCCATCCATGTCTATGATGTGCCAGGCATCCTACTAAGTTCTGGAGCTACCGTAGTGAACTCCAGAGGCTATACTGACTATAGCTTAGTGAGTTAGAGTAAACCATGAGGATAATGGTAATAACCATAGCACATGGCCAGACACCACTCAAAATGTCTTCACATTACGTGCTCATGAAAACTCTCCTACTCTCACATTACACCTGAGGAAATAAAGACATGGAAGTTTTAGACTCTTGATCAAAGTTACAACCTAACAAGCAGTGGAGCCAAGAAGCAAAGAGAAGCCATCTGACTTTAGAGCCCACGCCCACCCTCTGTCCTATACCATCAGCAAATGTTATCCTCCAGTATTAGGCTTCCCATCTTCATCAGTAATAGAACCCAAAATTTTAGCTGGGACCTTGGTGTTTCAGACTATATTTTTCTAGTCTCCCTAATGAATAAGTGAAAGTAATTTATACAACCTCCGGGAAAGGTTCCTCTTCTGTTTTTTGTTTTGTTTTGTTTGCCCCTTTTGCTACATGGAAAGCAGACACAATGACAGGTTTCTAGCAGCTGTCTTGGGCCCTACCCAAATGCTGGAAGAGCAGAAAGCTGGAAGAAGTGGGTCTCTGCTAATCTGTCGAAATTCCATACCGGTCCTGGCCTGCTATCCTCCAGACTTTTTACGTGAAAGAATAAAACTGTATGTGAACAGCCACTGTTGACTTGTGGTTTGTGTTGCATGTAGGCAAACCTAATCCTATACCATCTTAATGTGAAAGATCACTTTGGTCTAGAAATGTTCATAACCTGACATAAGGGTGGGTAATTTATAAAAGCACTTCCATATGTGTAAAAGTCTTTTGGGATATATATATATATATATGTATACACACACATACACACACACACACACACACATATATCATATAT